GTCGTATGAACAGTCCCCATAGCAATGTATGGGATCGTTCATGTTGGTGGATCCGTGCGGCCGGACCGCCCCGGTGTGAACTGGGCCTTAGTAAATCGACCTCATTGACTCTGAATAAGTAATTTGACACTTTTCGTACACTCATTTTACAGCATGCTCTGGGTATGTGACTGAAATGGAATAAATTCAGGCACAGCCAGGCATCTTGCATTTTCAGAAGGAGGCCTTTAATGGCAGCCCTTGTTACTTTGCTAATGAAAAAGTCACTTTAAGTCACTATTTGCTGCAGAATACAGGAAGGTAAGGAAACACTTAAACCTGACCATTTGATCCTAATCACTCTCTCTATACTGTACAAAGAAAGACAGACAGAAAAGGATTTCTTTTTAGATAGAGTTCTGGAATGTGGGTGGGTTCCTGGGCCACCAATCCATTACAGCTTTCTGCATCTGGATGAGAGCCCAGGTGTCTGGAACGCTAGAGTGCTCTGCCAATGACTGCCAATATACATACAGAATTACAATTTATAAAATACAACTGATAACATTGTTTACATTCCGTTAAACTTGTTTCACACATACTGTATATCTAAAAAGAAAAAAACTGATAACAGAAAAGACTGTACATTCCATTTATGCCTTTCGCTGCCAACCACGTATGTCATGCGTCGCTGGCTGTCTCTGGCTTCAATACGCGCATTCATGTAAAACACACATCAGTTGCACTTACATACAAAAATGAAAATCACGCTACAATGTTAGGTATTGCCACATACACCAAGGTGAGAGCAATAAGTCTAGGGCCAGTATTCACAGATATCTCTAAACTAATGACCTGTATGGGCTTTTAAAGTGTCGCCTATGGACAATTTGGGGTACCGTATTTTGTTGCGGTTTCACGGACGCGGACAATTTTAAACTTGGGCATGTTGGGTATCTTTTTACTCCTCATCTTTTATATTTTATTTAAATAAACTAAAAACTAACTTAAGTGCATTTTTTACTACATTTTTTAATTAGATAAAAAGTTGCGCTAATATCGTGCAACATGAATTTGATAAAAAGTTGCGCTAATATCGTGCAACATAAAAATTTGCAGTTACCCCCATTTTATTCTACAGGGTCTGTACTTTCAGAAAATATATAATGTTTGGGGGTAATTTTCAGGCCTAAACATGTGGATTATAACATGTGTGCAAAAAAAGGCCTTGGCAGCAAAAGGGTTAAAGCAACTCCCTTGCAAAGAATATAGTTAATACTTTCTTCTCCCACCACCCGTGCTGCCCATCTCCAATGTTTTGGAGAGAAACCACCACATGAAGAATCTTTAGAATTCAACACTTCCAAAAGTGGTCCTGGTCCCCCGCTGTGCTCATTGGTTTGATCTGTTGGCCACAAAGTTACTGCTGCCCATGATACTTTGATGAAGTTCTCAGATTATACCTGGTACACTCAAGATCCAGAACCGATCATTAATGAATACATTACTGGAATAAACCGTGGTCTCCTATTCTCTGCCTGGAGTCCAACTTAAAAAATGTAAAAATCTGAAATTATTAGATATCAATCAACTTTCATATTATCTACATAAAGACATTTAAAGCCTATCGGATGCTAAGACAGCAGGGAAAAAATAGGGTGAGGAAAGAAAGAGAGACGGTGCTTTATTCTGTACAGAGTCCAGTACAAAGCTAGTATCTAAATAAAAGTACCAGTATACGGTCCTCAACCTCTCACAGTTACCACCCTCCCCTCCCAACACCCCATAGTTATCTCCCTACCACTGTCACACATGCACCCACATAGTCACCCAAACACCTAAGTTCAGGTAATGAGCACTAATGTCCTCCAAAATGGCTTACAGTGCACTGCCCCCTACAAGACAAATAATAAATAATAGCCTACAATTAACACATACAGTACAAGTATCACATACCTTCTTTCCAGTAATACTTTTGTCATCATTGTTAAGAACTTCTCAAAGCGAATGAACCCTGTAGGTTCTTCTTCCTCCACCTAGATGACAAAGTTGTAACAGAAGCTAATAATAAGAAATGGCAAGGATCTATGACAAGGATTTTCTATTGACTAGTTTTTCAATGATAATACCTATCCTAAAGTTATTCTCTCTTAAAGTCACATTCTCAAACAATTCATTGTGACTGTAATGTCTTCCTTATATTGTAAAGCGCTGCGCAAACTGTTGGCGCTATATAAATCCTGTATAATAATAATAATCATAATAAAGTAAAGCTGAGTTCCCCAAAACCTGGTTTAGGTTGATGGCAGGTTAGGAATCAGTTAGGAATAGATTACTATACTTGGATGCACGATAGATGTGTCCAGGGATAGTGATCTATTCCTAACCGCATGTACTCATATCACATACGATTACATGCGGAGTGGCGGCAGACTGTCGCTTTAAAATGCAGCCGCTGCGTTACCCAATCAGTAACTTGAACAGGTGACAGCAACCGCTTTGAACAGCATATTTCGGATTTCTGGTGCCGCAGGAATCCCCAAATGCACATTCACACGATGTGTGAATAAAGTAAAACTGGAATCTAACCATATGTTGTAACTGAATGAAATGTGTCGGCATCTGTGATTATTTTGTTTACACTAAATTTCCTGAACACAAATGTGACATTCTATTATTTCCCATGTGGCTGGCTCACATCTATGTTCTGCAATTTAGTTTAATTTTAAAGTATCCAAACCCATTTACACCTACGCATGTGGGTCACCATGCATGCTGCAATGTGCATGCATAGGTGTAAATGGGCCCTACACAGCAAAAATGATTGTAGGACTCGGCTTTCTATGAGTCAGTGCAGGCACTTAGAGGAGCATGCACATATCTGCACTTTTTCTCTGCAAGTTTATTCTATCTTGTTATTACAACTTCTGACCACTAGATGGTGATATATGACAATTATTTCTAGCTGTACTAACCCTAACCATCAGTGGAGTCAGTACATTGAATTAAAGGGTAATTCCACTCTCTCATCAAATGTGAGAACATGAAATTACCCACACAAATCGTACACCTCTCCCTACCCCTGCTGGTCATATCTTCCACTGGAACTGATTCCCCCCCTTTGCCCCGCACCAGCTGGTGTATGGTCCATACACTGTACACCGCACTGCAGCCTGGAACTCAGCATCTAGAATAATGTTTGCAAATGGCGAGGACTCACTGGTCAGCACGGTCACCTGACCACACTGACCAATGAGAACTAGAGGTGCACCGAAATGGAAATTTCAAAACCGAAATAAAAAAAATTGTCAGGCCGAAACCGAAATTTTATTTTAATTTTTTACATTTTTATTGATTTTTTTTAAACTTATACTTTTTTAAATATTTATTTAGATTTATTAATTCATTTTTTATTAAATATTTTTACTTTTTACTTTACTTTTAGGGGCTTCGGGGAAATATATTTGGGGTCTAAACAGACCTCAATCTCTTTTTCTGCAGCCCCAGTTATCAATGAACAGGAATCCTCCATTAGTGTTCCTGTTCATTGATAACATGAGGACAGAGTGGGGGGAATTTATCAAAACTGGACCAGACAAAATCTGGAGCAGATTGGCACTGCAACCAATCAGCTTCTCTGTCTCATTTTCAAATCTTACCTGAGCAAACTGAAGAGAGATGCTGATTGACTGCCCTGGGCAACTGCTCCAGATTCTGTCTGCTCCAGTTTTGATAAATTCCCCCAGTATGTTTACTATAACCACAATCATGAATGAACAGGAGGTGATGTAGATCACTTCCCATTCATTCATAATTGAGGATATAGTACACATACGATGACCTAAATTATCTACAAAGACTCAGCGATCGCTGTTCGCTGAGTGTTTGTACACACTCTCCTTCCTGAAAGCTGTCACGGGGGGCTGAGCGAGGGGTGTAGGGAGGAGAGCTCAGCCTCCTGTGACGGCGCGGCATGTCTCCGTCCCCACACACCGCTCTGCCGGACTGTGATAGGAGGCTGAGCGGTGTAGGAGGAGAAGCTGGCCACTCACAGTGCTCTCCTCCCACAGCGCTCGGCCGGCTGTCACAGTTTCTCTCCTCCACGCTGGGACACAGAGCAGCACCCAGCGGGGATGAAAGAAACCTGGGATGCGCCGATGTATCGGCAGGAAAATGGCACTTTCGGCATTTAGCCAAAATTGCCATTTTCGGCGGATATGTTTCGGCGGCCGATATATTGGTGCATCCCTAATGAGAACCGCTTCTTAGAATTCATCACAGAGTTCATTAGCTTTTCACTATCACATAGCAGATGGTAGAAGTGTAGGGATCCACTAATGAATAGTAACCGCTGATTCTCAGTGGTTACCGGCATTACAGATCCCCAAATAGATGCTTAAGTACAGTGTACGTGAGCAGTCGTTTGGGCACTTAGTGGCGGGGACGTGCAGTGTACGTGGCGGGGACGTGCAGTGTACGTTTCCCATCACTAAGGGGATAAATAAACAATGACAATAAAGCAGAACTCCAGCCAATAAATACAAAGATACAAATAAATAGCAGATTAAAGGATACAATAACAAAACCAGCTTTTGCTGAAATATTCCGCTTTAATCCAGAGATTCCCTGCACAGTACTTTTATCTGCTACTAGATGTCCTCAGTCTGATGGCCAGTATCATTTTACCTACTTCCTCTGAGCCCCAGGCATCCTGGACCCACTGCAGCCTGTGACTGGATAGTGAAAGTAGAAGCAGCAAAGTGCTGAGCTCATCTCTCGGTCACTCTGCTTTCTCTCCCTATCAGCATGCCTCTTGCCAGCAAATGAACTGATTGGCTCTTTGTTCTGCTTCATTCTATCACACTCCAGCCCTGCTGTACAGGCATGGGAAGATGCTCATACCAGGTCTAATTCAGGTACTTACATTGCTTGTATTTAAATATTTTGTTATGTATTAATGGTTACAGAGCTGGTTTAATTTCTCTTTTTGATATCTACCTATTCAGCTTTAAAGGAAAAAATGTGCATGCTGTCATTGATGACCCTCCTTAAAATAAGAGTTGCCTGCTTTTGATTTGCTGCAAAGGTTTCAACACTTACACACAACAGGCATGCAAAGCAGGAGTCCTGATTTTGCTTTGCCAGGTCAGTGACTCAAAGTATTGAAGCCAGAGACAGCCAGGTGACTGGAATTTTCACAAGCAGACCAGCAATGGCCGCCTATATACGTCTCCCAGTACATATCACAATGCCGCAGACTGCTCCTAAGAGAAGTAATAATATTTGTTCATGGCAGCTTCCATCATTGGTTTCTCATATAGGGGTTTTTTCACAAAGCTGCTGAAGGATCTAGCCGTAGCTTCGGCTGATCCTTCGGCTAGCTTCGGCCCCAGGACCCCTTCGATTCAGTAGAACCGAAAGGCTGCTGTACGGGCTATTCAATATAGCCTGTACAGCTCCCGAAGTTGGCCGAGTGGCTCAGTCGAGCCGAAGGCATATGCCTCGGCTTGACTGAGCCGAGGTGAAAGGCGAAGCTGGCCGAACAGCCGGTCATTGGCCGGCCGACAGCCTACTACTGACAGCTGGGCGGAGCCAGCTGTCATCTCACGGCTGGCTCCGGCCACTTGCAGAGATAGATCAGCGTCCCCTGGTTACCAGGGACGCTGAGCTGTCATTACTCTCCCAGACGCTCCGGGAGTCTCCCGCTATTAGATAGCGGCTCCCGGCCACTCGAGAGAGAAACACTTTCTCCCAGATAGGTTTACTCTGCTTGATCAAGCAGAGTAAACCTTTCCCTGCTCTGTTTTTTTTTCCCTCTGACATCAGAGCCGCCAGGCCGCCGTCAGTCTGAAAAAAAAAAGCCAGCATAGGAATGCATAGCTACATTCCTATTGGCTATTTCACTTTGCAATAGTCAATAGCAAACTAGCTATTGTACCCGCCCACTGCTGCTGTCAATCAGCAGAGGGGACCTGAAGTTCTAAATCAGGTCCTCTCTAGTGATTGACAGCAGCAGAGGGCGGGTGCAATAGCCAGCTTTCTAGTGGATATTGCAAATTGAAATAGCCAATAGGAATCTAGCTATGCATTCCTATGCCTTTTTTTTCCATTCTGACGACAGCAGCTGTCAGAATACTAAAAAAGAAAAAAAAGAAACGTGCAGATAGCAAAGAAGCTGTTGCTTCCTCTGCTATCTGCCATCATTTCAGGGGGATGCTCGCTCCTCCCTGCATTATAATGAGAGTTTAGCAGAGCCGGAGGTGATATGAAAGCCGACTCTGCTGAGCTCTCATGGTGCTGACAGTTCAGCGTCCCCTGGTTACTTTTTGTTTTCTATTTTTTTAAACTGTTTTTCTATTCTGCTCGGTACCACAGAGGTACCGAGCAGAATAGCCGAGCCGAATGTTGGATCGGCTGAGTCGAACTCCTTCTGTACTTCGGGTTAGCCTAACATGCTGAGCATGCTTGGCGGACCCGAACCCAGCCGCAGCAAGACGATGTACTGCTGATTTTAGTCGATGCTCAGCCCTGAAATCAGCCGTACCAGCCTGAAGTGAATAGCCGAACGGCGTTCGTCTCACTTCACTTCGGGTCGGTTATTCACACGGCTGCCTACGGCAGCTTTGTGAATAACCCCCATAGTTTCCATTTTGCCTTGAGGCTGCAATCAATATGTGTTTTGGAGCAGCAATGTCGCTGAATAAAATAAATATATTTTTGCAAATCAGTTGATTTTGTCACTAAAAATGTGACACTAGTTTTTGGTGCAGAGATTGGGTAGATGTGGCACCAAGGGCAGGTTGGACCTTTGAATACCAGCAACTATAAAGTATACATATATTAAATGTAGAGGTTACTCAGTGTTGGGGGTGGGATTACAGCTAGGGTCAGGGGTTAAGGGTCAGGATTATGACTGGTGCTAAGATTTAGGGGATTAAATGTTAGGGTAAAGAGGTTAAGATGAGATTACATCAGAACTCCAGGCAAACAGCTAAAGTGCATGCACAGTATAAATACACATGTGAGCTATTTTGCAAACGCATATATAATTCTGTACAGTCAGTGTTGTGATTTACACACTCACAGACAGGTGTCCCATGTATTTCTTGGTTCAGCAATAACACGCACTAGATCATCTTTCTGCCTCCAGCCTTCTCATAATAGAGCTCCGATAAATCAGCTACATTACCTCTGTCCAGTTATTAGATGTGTGATCCAGAAAGCAATAAAACGTATCCAAGAAAAGACCTGATTGGCTGTGCATTGTGGCAGGGGTGTGTGTATATTAGAAGACAGGCTGAACAGAATTAAAAAGAACTCCGAGCAAAATGTAATTAACCCTTGCAGTGGGGCTACCCCCGGACTGCAAGAGTTACCTGCTCGTTTTGGTCTAGGGAGGGAAGTAAAAAAGTTATACTCACCTGATCCTCCCAGCAAGCCAGCTGTGACAGCACTACCTCCTGAATGTCTCCTCCTCCACTGCAGTGATAGTATGTCCCTCTGTGTGCTCAAGCCCTTTACACAGTATATAGAACGTGATGACTCGGGGAACTTAGACAGCTGTAGTGGAGGGAGAAGAGGAGAGGCTGGAAAAACCAGTCTAAGAGCAAGCCGGTATAAGTTTTTTTTTTCCCTCCCTAGATCAAAGCAAACAGTTACTGTTGCAGTGTGGGGGTAGCCCCACCGCAAGGGTTACTACAAATTTCTTTTTTTAAAGAATCCTATGGCAAATAAAACAGTGTGCATATGTGTTTTATGGGGATTTATTTATAAAACCTCTATTCACTAGGTGCCCCTAGATGGCGCTGCTGAGTATGGGGATTTCCTATACTCCTCGGTGCCATCTAGTGGCAATAGTGCCATGGGAACGGCATCCAGCCAGTGTATAGAAGTTTTATGAATAAACCCGTGACTGTATATTTAGCTGTTTGCTGGAGGTTAAATGTTAGATTAGGCTTTAGGGTTAGGATGAGGGTAAATGTTAGGGGAAGGTTAAAAGGAGAACTATAAGGTGAGTGATTTCCAGTCATTCTCATAGTTAGAGCTGACCTGTGGCATTGATACTGTCACAGGTCGGCTCTATCGATCGGGAAGTGAGCAGAAACATGCACCGATTTGCTCACTTCCCGATTGTCTCCCTGCAGTGAGAGGTGATTGTCAGCCACCGCTCCCCGCAGGGATTCCCTCCCCGATCCTCCAGCGCTGAGTGGAGTAAGGCACGGAGGAGGGGGCGGGCACAGCTGGCTCTGCCTCTTGATAGGCAATCACGCAGTTGGGTGGATCTCGACAGTATTGTCATGATCCGTCACGGCTGCGGCACTCTCAGTATATCGCTAGCCATAGCTCGCTATACACTGACCTTTGGGTCACGGGAAGAGGTTAGTATATGTCCTCCCGTGACCCTAAAGAGAACTATGGGGAAAAACACTTACCCCATAGTTCTCTTTTAAGTTAACTGGCCACACACTCGTATATTTTCATCTACGAATGTTCATTCGAAAATCTCATCATAACATTCGATAATGGCGTCAGAAATTTTGTTTGATTTTAGCATTCGATTTTGGAATGAATGGAGTTTCCCAAACAAAAACCACAGTCAGTGTTAGAATTTTGTCCGTTCAAGAAAAAAAAAATTCTATCCCACTACGGTCAAAAACAATGGTCGATTTGACCCCATTTACTGTAAAAAAAAAAAATCAAACAAAATTCCACTGGCATATGGCCAGCTTTAGATTAAAATGAAACTGAAACTTTCTAGAAACTAAACTTTACAACCTCAACCATTAACACTGAAAGTGAAGAAGAAAAAATCCCAAATTTTGGGATGTCAGAACAGGAATAGATGGGAAATCTGCCAATGAGGACCCTAGTTCAGTTAGGGATTCCCTTCACTTTGGATGGATTTCCTCTCACTTCCTGTTGTTGAAAGTGTGATACAGATGGCAAAAAGCTGACAGGGGTTATAACCCTCCCTTACTCTATCCAGAACTAAAAAAAAACTACTTTAAGGTTTAACATAATCTAAATGTATTAGACTGGTTTTTGGCACTAAAACCCCAATGCCAACAACTACCTGGTGCCTGGATCTTGCCGGTAATGCTAACTAACATATTAGTATTACCATCACATCACATCAGATATCTCTTACCTCCGCAAGCATATCGTGAAGTTCTCCTTCCGTCGGGCAACATCCTAATGATCTTATGATCGTCCCAATTTCTCTGTAAACAGCAGTAATGTATAAATGTAATCATCCTTTCACAGATATATGTTTACCGCATACAATGTTGGCTTCAAGCCCAACTCCAGACAGGCTTATTATTTTACTTTGGATAGAGCAGGGTTGGGTTATTGCCCCTATTGGGGAGATTCCTTCTCACTTCCTTTCTGCACAGGAAGTGGCAGCAAATCTCTCCAACATGAACATAATCAAAAGAAAAATAAGTGTTTATTCTTTGTTTTTTTAAGCAATGAGGTGACGCTTGCACCATACATTTCTTATACGGGCATCAAAGAACAGTAAGAAAATCTCTCCATTGGAGGTTACAGGTAGAAATGAGACACATTTTAGTTTCTCCATCTCCACTCTATTCAAAACACATTTTAGTTGGAGTTAGGGTTTAAAGGAATAACAAAACAAAAAAGTTTCTAGTATTTGTTCTCTAAACTGCCTATTAGTCAAGAACTGAGATACCAATGTGATGATAAAAAAAGGAACCATTTTGTATCCAGTACAAAGGGGATGGAATAAAAGTGCAAACCATACAGATCACACAAATTGCTACAATCTGGACCCCGGTATATTACTGGATTTCTATTTAAACTTCTATGGGAAACCCCGCTTTGAGCCAACAAAAGCCCTTTTGCACAGGCTCAGATACATCTGAGCCTGTGCTAAAAAAGTATCTCCATTGGAAGATTTACCCTCTATTCCTGTTCCAGCGACCACTTAATATTTTGGACTTTCCTTAACTTTCAGTCCTGGTGACAGTGGTCACTGTGACATTAGAGAGAGTGGCTCTCTCCAGTGAGGACAAAGATGGAAAAAAAATAACAGGGATGGAGGACATTTTCATCTCTTTACTTGTTACATATAAAATATTGGCATACATAAAGACTTCACAGAGCCCTTTGGGTATTTATTTATCTATTAGAGTAAATATATGTTAGAAACAAATATATATGTTTGAGGCTAATAACATCAGCCGAGTTTGTGGGAGGAGTCGGAGCCTCCAGGGCCCTTAAACACGGAGAGGGAGGTGGACGCCTCTGCTGCTGACCTCCGGCGTACCCTCCCTCCCATCCCCATTATTATAACTAGTATTACGCAACGCTTACTAGAGTATGCCCCCTTATTTGGCGTACTGACCATAAAAATCATGGCACACCTCAGGTTGTGTGGAGTAGGGAGGTCAACATGGCCTTGGCGTATATCATGTACAAAGCGGGGCAACATGCGCGGCCCGCGAGATTCCGAACACAAATATTATTTAAGCATTCTTGTCACTGGGGAGTAGTGCTGAATGTACTTCCATTTTTTATTTACTGTATGAACCATTTTTGTGTTTTATTTGAATGTGCTACATATACAGAGTTATTCCAAAAGCTCCGCCATCTTACCGAACATCTACAGTTTTGTTGTTTTCATGGTCAAACACTTCAAATGCTTCGGTGATCTTTTTCTGTAGCTCTGACACAAGTGCGTCTATAAGAGAAAAATAGAAAATAGGTATGAAATAGCAATAGCTTAGTTTTGTGATTGCTGGTTCCAATGGTATCTGAATTGTCATAATAAGGGATCAACATACAGTAGATAGGCAGATTGATAGAGCATTTGAAATGTTGCAAGTATGTGTTACCTACTCCAAGGGCAGGATTCGGGAAAAAAGGTATTGCTCAGATTCACAAAATCTTTTGCAGTCAAACTTCCGTTACCTATGGTACCCAAATATTTATCGCTCTAATATGATATAGAACACCCCTATAGCTGCAGCAATAAGTGAATGAGCCGGGGTGTACACTGTACTGCACATGTGCCACACAAGGGGTATACACTCTTTTAAAAATTGCTAGGAGAGAGGAGAGAAGAGACATGCACAGACTCATCTGTTAAAAAATGTTATCTTGGACACGGCAGTAGCGCCCCTAGATGGCACTGATAAGTATAGGTTATTCCTATATTCATCAGCACCATCTAGGGGTGCTACTGCCATGTGAACAGCATCCGCCCAGTGAACGTTTTATTAAGGAATCCTTATGTTTGTATGTACAGAAGGTACACAACAGCTCACATACATGATTCTATATACTGGAGCTTGGAATGGTGGCTTCAATGGTAATACCTGTACATACACTGCGCTTTTTGCACCGATAGCAGTGTACAGGCCATTTTCAGGTAAAATGTTGTCACATGCACACTTTTTATTACAAGAGGCGGTACAAAAATAGCAGTATTAAGATGGCACACCAAACTAGGTCTACCCCACACACACTGAACATCAGTGTACAATCAGATAGGTTCTGGGATGGTGATCAATGTGCATGTGCGTCCTACATGATAAATCAATTGTGAAAATACAGGGTTTGTAGAAATCGCTGCAGTGACAGGCACATGAAGGCTGCAAAAGGTGCGGAAGGCATAAGCAGTGATTGAATATTTCTTATTCATTCATTAATTTTTTATTTCTATAGCTCTTTTCTCCCTGTGAACTCAAAGTGCTTTATGTACCGTTGGGGCAGATGGTGAGGCAGCAATCTTGAATGCACTCAGTTGAATATCCTACTATGGCCAATTTTAGATGGGAACCAAATTACTCCAATGTGTTTGAAGTGTGGGAGTAAACCAGAGTACCCGGAGGAAACTCACACAAGCACAGGAACATGTAAACCCCATGAAGATAGTGTCCTGGCTAAAAATGGAACCTCAGTGCTAAAAAGGCAGACATGCTCGCCACTAAGCCACTTGCTGTCATGAATAACACTGCTCATCCTGAGGCTTCAGAGGTGTTGCAGCGTGCAATGTGGTGCGTGTGGATCGGCAAGCCATTCATTTTAATGGGCTGCCTACCACAGCTTAATTACACTGAAAGAAGTGCACCCTTTTTTTTTTTTTGCATCACACCACATCACATGGTAACAAGTTACTATACAATGTGGTACGATACAATGTACATAGGATAGCTAGGTGCGTTGCGGTACTATTAAGAAATAATGGCACCACACCGCACCTAACATTGCAACATGCGATGTGGCATTGTGCACATTTTGTAGACTGCATAAAGTACAAATTCAAACAATTTTATTTGTGATGTGGCATTATGCGCAGCATTGCACGTGCAGCTACATGGCATAGATGTTATTGGAGCGTTAAAGTTTTTCTAGCGAACTTGTACTGTATGCCATTCAACACCCCATTTAGGTCAAAGACTGTGTTAAAGTGACACCAAACTCAGGAATTAAATCTTAAAAATGTATTCAAGTACCTTAACTATTAAGAAGACTGTATCTTATTTGTGCATTGCTGTACATTCTCAAATCATCTCTGGATTAGTGCTGACGCTGTCCTTCCTTCTGTAGGGTGGCTACTTTTATTCCCCATGGTCCCTGTGTGTGTTGTGAAGTATCCACCGCTCCAAGCTCACTCCTGTGATTACAATGTCACTTATAGTTTACTAATTTTTATTGAGATTGTAGTCCATTGTGGATTTAAAGTGACATTAAACCCTCCCATTTTTCTTCCCCATTGTAAAGCTGCTTTAACCACTTGAAGACCAGGTGTTTAGACCCCCTTCCTGGCCAGGCCATTTTTCAGTATTTAGCGCTGCTGTACTTTGACTGACATTTATTCCGTCATGCAGCGCTGTACTGAAATGAATTTTATAATGTTTTTTGGGGACAGATAGAGCTTTATTTTGGTGTATTTAATCACCACTGCGGTTTTTATTTTTTACTATATTAAGGAAAAATTACCGAAAATTTTCCATTATATTAGGAAACATTTATTATTACCCACATTTTTGGTAAAATATAAAAGACGGGGTCACGTCGGGTAAATAGACACCAAACACGTCAAGCTTTAAAATTGCGCGCACCCGCGAAATCGCAAAAAACTACCATACCCAAAATTGACCATAAGTGACGCTTTACAAGCTTTTACCGCTCATCAGTTTAGTGTTATCAGTGATTGATGGCCCTCCAATTATTGCTCTCATTCCGACGTTTGCAACGATATGTAACATGTGTGGCGTAATGGGCGCAATAGTCGTTTTCGCACGTATACGCACCCGACGCATGTCTGCATGCTTTTATGCATGGGGGGACTTTAAAAAAAGTTTTGTTTTTTTTTTAATTATTTTTTATGTGTAACTTTACATTTTTTGGGGGGAAATTTTAATTTTTTTCTCACTTAACTTTATTGCTATCACATAGGGAGCTAAGAAAACCCCCTATGTGATAGCAAAAGATGTGACAGGTCCTCTTTATTGAGACATCAGGGGTCTCCAAGACACCTAATGTCATCTAGGACCCCCCATGAAGAAGCTGATGAAGCAGGGATCTGCTTCATCAGCTTCTCTCCAGCGCCTGAAGCTGGAGAGTGACACAAGAGTGCGGAAGTGATGTAATATACATCAGTTCCGCATTCTGACAGCGGAGAGGGGACCGGAGGGAGGTGGTGCACCGATCTCCCTCTGATCCCCTGTCAAAGTGGCACTATGCTTGTCCCGGGCTCGCACCGGGCACAGCGGAGCCTGGGACCAGTGGGAGGGGGGGAGCCGTGGGGGGGGGGCGCACGTCCCGGGACCTCATACAAGCGATCCGCCGGCTCTATAGCCGGCGGATCGCTTGTATGTTAACAGGCATCGCTGCCTGTTTTTACATTTTAGGACTTTCCCGCGCGCCGCGGAGGAAAAAGACGCCCGCTCAGATCTAGAAAGCCCCCATCCGTTTTTTTACCACGGCCGGCCGGGAAGCAGTTAAGGACTTAACTTAAATTATGTCTCTTGATCCGATCATCTTCTTCCTTCCACTTGTATTCAGAAATCCCTCCAGCGCTGGTGCCAGTCTCTGATCCAGCGTAGACTGCTGTCTCTTCCTGTCCCTCGGAGTCTGTCTGGCGTGCACGCTCCCAGCTGCATTCATTCACTCCTACTGAGTCTCTCCTCTTCTCCCTGCCGGTGATATGGATTACGCATGCGCCTGCCCATATCATCCTCCTGCGTGGCCGTTCGGGACCTGTGCACTGCAGCTGGGAGCAAGCTACTGCTTGCTAGATATATGTAGAGAAAAACGGAGACTTTAATTCTACTTTAAGTACTTACCTCACGGCCTGTCTAACGAAAATTTCCCTGTTTGCCTGTCTTTGAAATACGTCCACACGCCACCGTCCTTTTCATTCTTATGGGTGAGCAGTATTGCGTTGGATGACTAGAGTAGAGCAGGAGTACAGCTCACCCATACAAATGAATGTGGCTGCGGTATGCAAGCGCATTTTGTAGATGGGCAAGCTGGGGCATTTTCACATACAGGGTCATTCACTAAAGGGTGAAGAGTTTGGAGAAGACAGGAGAAGTGAACAATCTAGGCCAGAATAGCTGATTTGGAAAAATTATTCAATTCAGCTCACTTTCTAAATCAGCTATTTTGGCCTAGATTGTTCACTTCTCCTGCCCTCTCCAAACTCTTCACCCTTTTGTGAATAACCCTGTATATGATCACCAGAATGGGGAGCAAGTTAAGTAATAGCCATAGCATGCTGTACTAGGACAGAGCCCGGGGGGTGGGGGGCAATTGCAAACAGTACAAATTCAATCAATTTTATTAGTACAGTGTACTTTAAATTGTCATTCCAACCATAACTGGGAATTCAGCTTGAAAGAGATCGATAAAGATATAATGTTAATCGTCATAAGAACTGGATCTTTCCAGCACCATGGTCGCTGGTCATGTAGATATGCAAGTCATTAGGACAGTTTGTTTATTAAGAAATAAAAACACTTTTTTCACCTGAGTTTCACACAAATTCCTTTTTTTTTCCAATTATCAGGACACTAGGCTGGAAAACAAAGGACTTACATACATACTCATGTTTGGCCAGTGTTAGGTGTTAAAGTATTTTAACATTCAGTGGTCCTCTAGTCTCTGGCCTTTGTCCACTTATTTACCTATAAACATAAGACACTTTTCCTGTGTATGGGTGCGCCCATATGAGAAAGGGCACAGAATAATTGATGCATAGAAAAAGATAAATGCACTGAACCATAAACAGTGACACTGTTACCTTTCTTTACATATTCTTTTCATTTGCAAATGAAATGTTGAATGGCTAAAAGGAAAAAAAGAGGTTCAGGCGTGATGTGTTTTGTAAAGCTTCTTCCTGTACAGGGATAAAACCCCAAAACACAAATGCAGCTTACCAGTTCTTATACGCGGTATCTACATTAAGCTGGCTATACACCAGGAAAATTTTGTTAGATAAAAAACTAACAGGGTTATCACAGAAGGGTGAAGGGTTTGGAGAAGGCAGGAGAAGCGAACAATCTAGGACAACATACTGTAGCTGGAAAGTGAGCTGAATTGGAGAATATTTCCAAATCAGCTATAATTGGCCTAGATTATTCAATGCCTTCTCCAAACTCTTCACCCTTTTATGAATAACCCTGTTATAGTTAATGGGGTCAAATAGACAATTGATTTCAAGTGTAGTGTGTAGTAACAAAAAAAACAAAAACATCAAAAGACCCAGATGATACATTTTTCTCGAAAGAAGGAAATTCTAATAGTCAATGTGGTTATCTTTTGGGAAACTCCTAATATTCTGAAATGGAACAATATTTCAAACCGAATTCATCAAACCTCTAAAGCCATTATCAAACTCTGATAATTATTAACGGAGAACTATGGGGTTAAGGCTTTTCCCCATAGTTCTCCTTAGGGTAACGGGAGGACACAAACTAGCGTCCTCCCGTCACCCTAAGCTCTGTATACTGCGAGCTACAGCTCGCGGTATACTGAGACGCCACAGTATACCGCGAGCTACTGCTGGCAGTATACTGAGGCGCCGCAGCTGAAGCGGATCCCGACAATTATGTCTGCATCCGCCCAGCTGCGTGAGTGACAGCTGGCTCTGCCTATCTAGAGGCAGAGCCAGCTGTACCCGCCCCCTCCCCCGTCCGATCCGCCAGTCAGCCCTGGCAGATCGGAGCGGGGAGGGGGGGAATCCAGCCCCTCCCCCTGTCACGGCAGAGAGCCGTGACAGGATCGAGAGGTGAGCGAACACCGGTATGTGTTCGCTCACCTCCCGATCTACTGAGCCGACCTGTGACAGTCTCATTGTCACAGGTCGGCTAGAATGATGAGGTGAGTGAAAAACACTCACCTCATAGTTCTCCTTTAATAATATTTTTTCAAATGAACGTTTATAGGAAAATTTACCAGTGTATGGCCAACCCACCATGTAATGGAAATGAACATAGGCAGACATGTTTGAGGTCCAGCCGGTATGGCATCCATGGCTCCTTCCAGAGATACCATGGAGAAGTAAGTGGAGACACACAGGGACAGGAAGTGTGTAATGTACAACATTACCAGGTGAAAATAAAGGGAAAAAACAAAATGAATGCAGCCACCACATCATAAGTACTGCTAAGCTGCAATATAACATTTAGTTTTTGGGGGATTTTTTTTCCTTAAAAATCTTTATTACTTTTTTCCGGGCAGATATTTCCATACACGAACACATTATAGATGACGCATAGTACAGAAAACATAAGACAATTACGTAATCGTGGGCATTGCACCACGCATACAAACTGGTCATATTATGAGACGGTGAGGACCCCACCATCCCGGTAAAGGTTGTTCAGTTTTCATTCTCCCATTTTTTGGTATGGGTCAGATCTGTTTGTGGGTTTAAATATGCTGTAATAAGGGGTATGAGAACCAAATAATGGGGTTATGGTACTGGATCTCTAAGGGGTCTATTTACAAAGCTGCCGAAGGATCTAGCCGTAGCTTCGGCTGATCCTTCAGCTAGCTTCGGCCCCAGGACCCCTTCGGTTCAGTAGAACCGACGGGCTGCTGTACAGGCTATTCACTATTCCGACAGCCTGCTACTAACAGCTGGGCGGAGCCAGCCGTCATCTCACGGCTGGCTCCGGCCACTTGCAGAGACAGATCAGCGCCCCCTAGTTACCGGGTGTAACCAGGGACGCTGATCTGTCATTACACTGAGAACCCGGGGGAGCCGCCGTGAGGCGCAGCGGCATTCGGCTATTCACTCACTGCTGTTCGGCCCGTATGGGAATGGGCCGAACAGCAGTGAGTAGCCTGCCGGAGGTTCGGCTAAGTCGATCCAGATGTTGGATCGGCTGAGTTGAACTCCTTCTACACTTTGGGTCGGCCGAACATGCTGAGCATGTTCAGCCGACCCGAAGCAAGCCGATGTATGGCGGATTTCAGCCGATATGCGACTGAAATCAGCTGTACAAGCCTGAAGTGAATAGCCGCACAGCGTTCAGCTCACTTCACTTCGGGTCGGTTATTCACACGGCTGCCTTTGGCAGGTTTGTGAATAACCCCCTAAATTATAATAATAAAAAAACTTGAAACAGGATTTTCTGCATTTCTGAACTCGGCACTAAAGTAGAGAAATCGACTTGATGTTTCAGATGACATTCGGGTACACTGTCAGTCAGTCAGTCAGTCGGTCTGGAATTGTAAATAACCAAAAACCACCCAAAAACCACCCTTTCTAATCTCTGCAGGTATCATGTGACAAAAATGACTTGATTGGGTTAGGGCTCCTGCTCACAGGTGTGCATATATCTGCATTCAGAGCTGTAACTAAAGCTGGCCATACACCTTACAACCAACAAAAACAAAGTCTTGCGATGGTTGTAAGGTAATTAAAGAAACGTACGATCTGCCCATCGCGGACAGGCAGATCGTACTTGCGATCTTCCGATGACTGCAATGCTGAACGGGCAGTGTGCGCTTGCGCACACACCAGCCCGTGCGGCATTTGTCTTACGAGCAGGCCCCAAACCCGCCGACAATCGTACGATTCTCGGCGGGTTTTCGAGCCTGCTCGTAAGACAAAAGACCTGCGACCGTACAGTAGAAACGGTTGCACGCCTTCCATACACCTGCTGATTATCTACAATCGCGGGATTTCCTCAATTATCGTACGATAATCGGCAGGTGTAAGGGGACCTTTATACGGATATGAAAGCAGCACTAATGGTTCCTATGGGCCCATACACACAGATCTGTATTGGCCTGCAGCATATAGCTTTGTCAACAAAAACAAGAAAAATCTATGTCAGAGGTGTAAAAACGGCATTTGATGCAGTACACATGTAAATGTTTGCAAATATTTAAATGTGTCCACTGTATACGATCCCCATTGCCTACCAACTTGTATATACTGTATCAACAATTTGTAATCAGAGCAGCCAGTGCAACTGATTACACGAAATTGGTGTTTATATGTCAGCCCTAAATGTGTCTGACAGTGATACGTAATTACCTGTTTTTTAACTTTTTTATTTTTTTACGTTGCTAGCAGTAGATACTGTATATGTAAATAAAAAAGAGACTTTAATACCACTTTAACAATAAGAATCTTGTGAGGGGAATTTATGAACACTAGAGAAGACAAAATCTGGAGCGCTTGCCCTTAGTAATCAATCAGCTTTACAAAGCTATTTTTCAAAGCTTAACTGAAGATAGATTGATTGGTTACTATGGGCAACTACTCCAGATACTGTCTGTTCCACTTTGATAAATTCCCCCCACAGGACTTCAACCTGCTTTTAAAACGTCCTCATTTAAAGTTAAAACAATCAGTAAATATTGTAAATGATTCCCTCCTAAGTTTTGACATGTCAGTTTTCATCCATAGTCAGGTCAATCACCTTCTTTTTGTAACCTGATTTTTTTTCTCTACGTGCTTTTTCTTTCATAAATTCTAGTTTCACTCACCGGCAGCCTCTTTCTCTTCAGCCATAGTTGTTGCCTAGATTACCATGGTGACGCCACCTTTAAATTGGGGCAGTCTCACGTCCAGTTACCACGACGACGCGGGGCGGGCTAACCGCCGCCATCTTTTGTTAGGGAGTTCTGCCCTGAACAAGTCTTGTTGCAACTCTGCGGGCGAGGGGGGGG